ATTACAACAAAAAGGTAACAAGAGCCACTAAGACGAACAATTTGTAAACTAGATAGTTTACAAATTCACAAAAATTCAAAAGAAGTGTAGTATTAAACTTTGGTGTCGTCTTCAAGTATGTCTGAAGGCAATATTTCTACTCCTGATAGACTAAAATTACCTTCCACATCACAAATAAAGAAAATAACAAAAAAATACAGTTAAAAGTGTGCCTATGTTGTCAAAAACCTGTGGCCGTTACGGTATTTCCGACAGAGCACCCGCTGCAATTTTATCTTCAATATTGCACAGTATATCTAAGAATATTGAAGAGGTTGATAAATCAAAAATACGGCGGGAAAAGAAAAAAGAATTTAATGAATTATATAAGCAACAAACGCAGCTTCATTTACCTGCTTTATACTTTCATGGACAAAAAGACAAGACGTTAAATATTGTGAAGAAAGGAGAAAAAAGGTACAGATAAACAGTGATTGAGGAACTTATATCTGTTGTTAAAGAACCAGATTCAGTTTATATTGGTTACGCTACGCCAGTTCGAGGTACTGCCAAAAGTATTTTAACATCGATTAATAAGCTTGTCTTGTCACAAAAAATTAATCTAGATAATTTGATGGCTATTGGTTGAGATGGTACGGTCACTAACACAGGAAAACTAATATTAGATCCCGTAATTCAACGTAATGCCTATTTTGCAAACCCTGATAGTTTGCTTCTGTCAATGTTGTGTAATGAACACAAAACAGTAAGGAAATTCGCTGCCAGGAGGATTCTTAAAGCAAGAAATGCACCTCATATAGGAAAGATGCCTTGTGTGTTTGAAGTGCCGCAAAAAAATTTTGATGCCAATAGCTATTTTGAGCTCATTGATTGGCAACAAAATTATTTTGATTCACCAATTCTTCGACACATCACTAACTAGGAAATAAACGAGGTTATTGAGTCTCAGGGCGGCTTAAACTTAATTTACTTAAAGTTACCATGTCATACGTAGGCAGTCAAACGATCTGTGAAAATAGTGACGGAAGCATCTATGTCCTTATGCAATAAAAAATGGAGAGAAGGTTTAATACGAGCGAAACTTGCATAAAAAAGCCTTATATTATTATATTTATTATTTTATTTTGCTGATTAAACAGTTACAATTACAATTTTCATATAATCATGTAAAAAATACATAGCGGCGTTAACATAAACATGATAAATAACGTTTTTAATAATTTTTTATATATATATTTTTTTATAATAAGTATTTACTATTCTAATCAGTCAGGGACTCAAAGAAGGTAAGTATGATGTGTTTAACATCACAACCTTTTCATAGAGCCCTTATAGTCACTCATTATAAAAAAACTTTAATTTTTAAAAATAAAATAAAAATTCAATAAAAACAAAGCTCATATTTTTTTAGTGGAACAAATTAAAAAACAAAAAATATTAAAATCAAGAAAAAATAAGAAAAAGAAGAAAAAACAAATAAATAAATAATAAAATACTGTAAACAAATACTGTAAACTTTAAAATGTATGTCAGGAATTAAGAAGATGCATTTTAGTTTCCCGTTTAAACGATGAAATGCTTTTTAGGTCTTTAATATTTTTATTTTGGAAATGATTCCATATTGATGGGCCACGTTTTGCAATTAAAAAACTTGACTGATGTGATTTAATTTTCCCTAAGTAATAGTTATATCTTATATTTGAACGCAAATTATATTTTTCAGAAAATGATCTCAAGAAAATATCTGAAAAAACGCTTGGTACGAGGTTGGTAGGAGGTTGTTCTTATACTTATACATAAAAATTAATATCTGTAATGTGTTAAGCTTCTCAATATCTAGAACCATCATGCTTTTCATCACCGGGGCCGGGTTTACTAACCTATTTAAAAAGTTTATTACTTTGCAAGCATGGTTTTGCAGCCTTTGCAATTTTAGCAGTTTTGTTTTATGGGTACTGGCCCATACAATATTTGCGTACAAAAGTTGACTATGTACAAGTCTAATATAAAGCATATTACGCGATTTTCTATCGAGAAAAGGTCTCGACTTATACAAAACACCTAATACAGAGGACATTTTTATTTCAAGAAGACCAATATGTTTTCTCCATGACAAATTTTCATCAAAAAGCACTACCAAATATTTTGTACATTTTTCACGTTTGATTTCATTTTTATTAATAAGCAGTTTAGGAAGCTTTAAAGGGAGATTAATTGATTGTACTTTTTTATAAAAAAGGGTAAAACTAGTTTTTTGACAACTTAGGGATAATTTATTTGCTATGAACGGTTGAATTTTTCAAGTTCAATATTCATAGTTTCAAACAAAGTCTTTGCATCTGGATGATTAAAAAATAAGTTTGTATTGTCAGCATACATAACTGTAGATATTTTTTGGGATGCTTTATGCATATCGTAAATTTAGAACAATAATGGACCTAGGATTGAACCCTGAGGAACTCCACACGTAATATCGAGGGCTCCTGACTTTTCTAGTAATACAAATTGCTTTCTGTTAGACAAATAGCTTTGAATCTACTTAAATGTTGAGCCTATTCTACCGTAATATTTTAGCTTGGAAAGTAAAATACTGTGATCAACCGTATCAAAGGCCTTGGAAAGATCAACAAACACTCCTAATACCAGCTCATCACTATCAAACAACTTAAATATTTTGTCTGCAAGTTTAATAATAGCATTTTCAGTAGAACACTTACTTTGAAATCAAAACTGATTTTTGTATAATAAATTGTTTAATGTAAAGTAATTGTTAACTATGTTATAAATTATTCTCTTAAATACTTTTGAAAGTACTGGAAGAAGAGTTGGAAACATTATTGCAATCACCTTTTTAAGAATTGAATTAATTTTGGCTAAGCTAAGTTTGTTAGGGAATATACTATTTTCAAATGAAGATGATATTAAATAAAATAATGGTTTACTAATGCTGTCCATTATATAAATAGCTACATTACTGGAAATACCATCATATCCACATGACTTGTTGCGTTTAAACTCAATAATTGCTTTATTAAATTCAAGTTTAGTAATCTTTTGATTATTTATACTAGTGGTGGGTTTTCTACCAAAAAACTATTAAATGTTTTATTTGGCTGCACAATGTTAGAAGCAAGAAAGCAAAAAAAGCAATAAAAGGGGCCTACATTAGCAAAAAAAGAGGCCTACATTAACAAAATATTTGTTAAATTCTTGACATATTTTTGTTGTAACTGTTATAATTTTTTTATCGGAAATTAGTTTTTGTAGTAAGCAAGTGTGAACGTGCAAGTGTGCTTCTTTTTCTCTCTTCCTGTTAGCTCGTTTATAACAGCCCAAGTCCTCTTTACGTCGAATTTATGCTTGTCAAGCTAATTAGAATTATGATCCGGTTATGCCCCGATTTGATAGTAAACAAAATAACTGATTATGTTTTGTGGTCAAAACATAATCAGTTAGATTTTATTTTACAGTATATTAATCTATATTAATACCAAATTTTAGTACTATGTTTATTGCAAATGCATTCTATATTTTATTTCTTCAATTTCTATTATTATATAATTGTTTCTTAATAAAATATATACATTTAATCAAACTTTTTTTTTTTCGAAAATTCTCCAAACTTTGAATCACGTACTCGGGCTAAAAATACAACTTTATTTAACTTTTTAGAGACAACTTTTATTTGTTTAGGCCTAAGAAAACATAATACCACTAATAGAATACTTGTGCGGCCGTGGCGCAGTGGTTACAGCGTTTGCTTTATAAGCAGAAGATCGAGGTTCAAAACGAGCTCTGGACATATTTTCGCGTCACGGTAAGGAAGGTGCGTGAACTTCCTGGTTAAATGCACTTCCGCAGTGTTCTGTGACAAGACCGTTAGGTCTTCTTGGGGCATTTAAAAAAAAAAAGAATATGATCAAATAGCTTGCTTTTTTTCCTATATATAACGACCACCCTCAGGAGCTGTCCATAAATTACGTCAACAAAATAAAGAGGAGGGGTCTGAATTAAAGTAACTAAATTTGTTAACAAATTAGTTACTTTAAAAAAGAAAAATTAGGCAGCGTTTATGCAAGTACTTGGTTACACACTATATTATTTAAACGTTAATACCAGGTGTGATCTACACTATATTATTTAAACCTTAATACCAGGTGTGGACAACTTGCGCAATGCATGCGCAAATACTAATATAATATTGAAATAAAGATTTGCTAGATGATTCGAAAAAAGATTTGAACTGAAGGTAGCTCTTTAAAAATTCTGAAACAAACATTGATAAAAGAAACAAACATTTTAATGAAAAAAATAAACATTTTGATGAAAAAAACAAACATTTTGATGAAAGAAGCAAATAAATTGGTAGCTCTTAAAAAAATTTTTTTATTGTGTTACCAATACCTTTATTTTAATATTATATTAATATTCGTGCATGGAGCTTAAGAGGCGCATCTTGAAATCGAAAGAAGCATACGAGGTTTGCAAGCCGCAGGTTGCTGACCCCTAGTATAAACGATTAAATAATATAATGAAGACTATGTACTTACATAAATCTTTTTTGTTTGCACATCAAACTAAAACTTTGTAAATTTCAACTTTTGGCTCCTCTGTCTTAACATGTTGCTGACCCCTGGTTTATACAATTTGTTAAATGCATTTTTTGTTATACTAAACTCTATTAGAAATAATTGGCTTTTACTGTGAATTTAAATTGGGTCAATTTCACTTTAAAAATTCAAAGTGATGTTTAAGTTAAGTTAAAGTGAGGAGGATTGGCAAACTAAATTGTAGCATTAATTTGAAATATTTTCATAATTCAAACGTGTGTATACATTTTTGTAGACACCCTTTAATCTTTATTTTTTTGTTCGGAGTAAGTTTTTGCAGTTATAATAAACTGGAAATATGTTCTTAAGCTAAAAATTTAATTTTTTTTCTATACTTTTTACTTTTATTCACTAATCCTAGATCCCAGATCCCAGAGATATTATCACTGATTAGGGTTGTGTTTAAAATCTTTTCTTTTTTAAAGAAAAATGTTAAAAAAATATTTTTACTTAAACTAAAGTTTATTTAACGCGTTATTTAGCTATGAGCAATTTATTGTCTTTTGAAACTCTTCTAGTGTTTTCACTTTTTGAACTTCTTCTAGTGCTTTCACTTAGTTTTCTAATGTTCTCTTTGTTGTTTTCTGTGTTTTCTTCGTGTGAGCGTTGATGCCTGAAAGAAGTTGTTCTAACTCGACTTACACTTTCAGAGAACGAACGAACTCTTTCTTGTAAAAGACCTACATCGCAATTTATAAATGCACGAAAAGAGCGACGAAAATCAGGACTTCGGTGTCCGTAAACAAAGAAGTTCATTATACTGTTGCTATAGTGCATAATTTTAGTGACGTGAACTAACCACACTGGGAAACTATTATAACAGTCTTTTGTACAAAATATAAACGTCATGTTCACAATAAAAAACGGACTCCAACAAATTAGGAACAAACTTACTATAACAGATATAGTTTTTGCCACTCTTAGCTCGCGTTTGATTTTTCTAGTTTGATTGCAACTTTCTCTCATCATCGAAATTGCACAATAAAGTATGACGCAATAAGAAACTACGATAATAACTAGAGGTATTATAAATGCACAAAAAAACAGAGTTGCTGTATAAATCTTAAAAACCTTTGTATTGTTTATTGTTAAAAATCTTGGAGCAGTTAATGCAATTCCTATAAACCAAGTTAGTGCTATTACAATTAAAACTGGGAGTGAAGTTAAATTAAAGTGACGTGTTGGGCATTTAACAGCAAACATTCGTTCCAAACTAATAGCAGTCAAATTCAATATTGATGTTATTCCGCATAGGGTGTCGATAGATATAAAGTACTCAAAAAACATACTTTTAGCAATGTTATTATCTAAAAAAAAATATATATGTATAATTTTTATTTAAGTGTAAAATTATATATGTATATATGTATATGTATGTGTATATATGTATAGGTATATATGTATATATGTATATATATAAATATATATATATATATATATATATATATATATATATATATATATATATATATATATATATATATATATATATATATATATATATATATATATATATATATATATATATATATATATATATATATATATATATATATATATATAGATAGATAGATATATACATATATAGTACACATATACATATACACATATAGAAGATAATGATTTTTTAGCGATTACTTAAGTTATTTTCTAGCTTTTTAAAAAAAGAAAAAGAAGAGTGGTTTTTTCTAATTAATATATTGTATAACAAAATAAATAAACAAATTTAAAAAAATATTTCATTTTGGTACAAAAATCAATTAAGAAAGTCAACAAATCAATTTTGTACAAAAATCAATTAAACAAATCAAACAAACAACCATAAAAAATTGTCAAAATTATAAGGTCACACTTTATTTCAGTTTTTGCATGATCACCACGTGCTTTAAGTAACCCTAAAATCCGTTTAGACATATTCAACCAGATGCATTCATAATTCATTTAAAATTTTGTTCGAGTGCAACTATCAATTGTAAAATCTTTTCTACATTCTCTCTTGACAATTTCTTGTCCATTAATGACTTAATATTTTTAATGGGGTTTAGATCTGGTGATTGTGCTGGTTAGGGTAAAAGAGTAATATGTTTCCTGTGAAACAACTCTTTGCACTGAGTTGAAAGTATGTGCCGTTGCGCCATTCTGTTTTGAAATTTGTTTTTAAGCATTCCAAAAAATGATACTGCAATAGGTAAAAGATTTCTTTCCAGGGTCTTTTGTTATTATACTGGTTTATTCTTTCTGAGTAAATTTAAAAAATCCTAACCCCTTATGAGAAATCTATCCTTATATATACAAATCTAAAAACCGTCTCGTACTCTTGGTACACAAAATTTTGGACACTTGGTACACAAATTTCTTATATTTCTCTGCAGCTAATTTTTTAACGATTATTCTTTATTCACGATTAGCCACCTCAAAATTTAATTCATTACTAAAAGTGACCTTAGACCAATATTCTACTGACCAATGAAGTCTTTCTTTACCCACATATCTTTTAATTTTATCTTTCCTCTTTAAAAGCGTTTTTTTGGTGCAACATAGCAATCTATACCTTTTTTATTTAGACATTTTTTGTAAATAATACAAACGATACTAGCCTTTTTACAAAACTCAGTTGACAGTTCTTGGAAGTTCATTTTAGGATCTTTCTTTACCTTTTAATACTTTTACCCTTTGATCCCTAGAATTAAATGTTGACGGCCTTCCAACTCTGAGTAAACCTTAAAGTTATTTGAAAGTTTTTAGTTTTGCAGTGTTGTTTGGACCAAGCATAATAAAATACCACATTATTATGCCGTATCCCGTTGATTTCAGCGTTATTTGGACACAGGAGAGTGAAACATCACAAAATCTTTCTATTTCTCGTGGGATTTTTTGATAAATTGACTATTTGTTATTTAGCTTCTTGTGATACTTATTTTCTAACCATTTTTCTGTTTCAGGTAAGGTAATAATTTACCAATTTTAATATCTCTTGAAATAATGGTCAGAAATTGATTTTTTTTTGAATTTATTAGTAATTTGTAAGGCTCTAAGCAAGTACAATTTTTTAGGGCTCTCGTAAAATATGTTTAAGAGTATTAAATTAATTGACCTTATAATTTTAAAACATTTTTCAATAATTACTTAAAATTTATTTATCTAGTAATTAAAATAGGTTTTAGTTACTAGATAAATAATTTTTTATTTCTCAGAAAATATAAGTTTTTCGAGTATACTGTTTTTTTCTTAAATAATACTATATATATGCAAGCAAAGCTGTGGTTAGATCCCCCCACCCCACACACACACCCCACCCGCAATTTTAAGGACTGAAATATGTATTATTAAGTCACAGTAACTGTTTTAATGCAGTTCACATATGAAAAACGTTCAGAAATCACGGAAATTGCATATTTGTTTTGTTTGTATGGTTATTTTTATGAAAATAAATTGCTTGTGAGTGTTTCAAAGACCCTATACTTACCAGTGATGGACCCAACACTTTTTAGTGTTTGAGATAGTTAACTTCCGGACATGGAGCAAATCCAAACATTTGTATGTTTATACTTATGTCAAATAATGATGATTTGCAAAAAATTGCAATGATTGAAGGCCGGGAACAAAACAACTTTAACATGTCATCCCCTTCCCTCACCCAAAACGTGAGGGCAACAAGTTGATAAAATGTTTTTTGTACTATTCTTAACTAGACTTATATTCATCAATAAATTTTAATTTTCACAGTATTACCATATAAAAGTTGTAAGCCCATCAATTTGTATAATACTATAAAACTTAAAATTTATCGATGAAAATAATTCTAGATGAGAAGAGTACACAAAATATTTTAGCAATTTGTTGCTCTCACGTTTGGGGTGAGAAAAGGGGATGATATTTTAGGTTTTTTTTGTACCCAGGCTCTAATTATTGCAATTTTTTGCAAACCATCATTATTTGACATAAGTATAAACATACAAATATTTGGAGTCTATATATATATCTCAAACACCATAAAAATGATGGTACCGTCACTGATACTTTCAAATCATATTAAATATATTTTCTATGAGAAAATATGTTAAATATGACTTATAATTATGATTTATGAGATATATTTTTTGTAAAAAAGTCATCAAATACTTCTAACTAGAATATAACATTTAGAAAATTGTTAAATATTTTTCATACTTTTGGAAGATTAGCACACAAAAAAAAAATAACAATAATAATAAAAACAAATTTATTAAATCATTCAGTTAGACTAAAATATTTATAGAATTTATATTAAAACATTTATAGATATTTGTATTAAAACTGTTCTTTAAGATAATCATTGTAGTCAGGGCCGTCCCGAAGAGAATTAAAAAAAGGGGGGCTGCCGTGTCTTTTTTTTGCCGACAAAAGCCAAAAATCAATACTAATGGACTTGAACATGCATACTGCAATCAGAGCCGTCCCTCAAAACGGCCCTGATTGTAGTATGCATGTTCAAGTTCAAACTTCTAAGTATATAATATAAGGATAAAAAAATCACGCCCAAAAATGGAAACGCCCTAATGTATTTTACTATCTAGCGGACAAATTTGTCCCTGCGACTTTTTTCTGATATTGGATAAGAACAATAAAATAATAATATAAGGAGTTTTGATTCCTAGTTTAACCGGTCTATCAATGTTTAGAATAAGTAAAAGTTTTTACAGTTGCAATATGATAAAAAAAGGAATTTAAGAAGAATAAATTTTGTTTGAAAAATTTTATTTATTTATAACTTTAATTTTTTCCGAAAGCACATTTTTATGATTTCGGTTAATAAATTTTTTTATTCCGAAAGCACATTTTTATGACTCCCTTTAATAATTTTTTTTTTTCCGAAAGCACATTTTTACGGCTCCAGTTAATAAAAATGTTTTTTCTGAAAGCACTTTTTTATGGCTCCCGTTAATAAAAATGTTTTTTCCGAAAACACATTTGTTAATAAAAATGTTTTTTCCGAAAGCTTTTTTGGAGTAATTACACTCGTTTTCGTGAAAAAAAAGGTTAAGCGATTTTGTTCAAATTTTTATTCACGTAAAGCTGAGTAAGTTCTCTAATTACGCTGAGTGAAATCAATTGCTTTTTTTATTCACCCGATCTATTGTCAAAAAAAAAAAAAAAAAAAGCTAGTTTTTCAAACCATGCTGCACAGATAAAGTGCGATATGGGGTAGGTCCTAAATGGACTTGAGTTGATTTCAATAAATAATTATAAAAGTTATTTTACACTACATACCAAATCGATAAGCAATCCAGAAAGGTAATGATAAAACTGCAACCATCAAGTCTGCAACAGCTAGATTTACCACAAAGTAGTTGGTAAATGTCTTTATAGATTTCGGGCCAATTATAAAAGCAAGTATAATCATGCTGTTACCAGTTAAAGCACAAACGTCAATTATTATTAAAACGATTATTTCAAATATTTCCAACAATGATTTTGACATTTTAGTATTCTAAAAAATGTATTTTTTTTTTGAGTATATAAGCTAACATTAAAAGAATATTAGCAGGTCAATTAAAACTTTAACGTGTAACAATTTTAACTTTTAAAAGTTAAAATTTTTATAAAAGTTTTGTCAAAGTATTACCCAGATGTTTTGAAAAGTTTATGCAAAATATATTCGCATGAATTTTTCAAAATATTGTTGATAAATTAGCAAAAATAGCAGTTAACATAAAACGGGTTATATATATATATATATATATATATATATATATATATATATATATATATATATATATATATATATATATATATATATATATATATATATATATATATATATATATATATATATATATATGTATATATGTATATATATATATATATATATATATATATATATATATATATATATATATATATATATATATATATATATATATATACATATATATATATATATATACATGTTAACCTGTTTTATGTTAACTGCCATTTCTGCTAATTTATCAAAAATATCTTATCGTTTTAATTCTTAAAACGAGCAGTTATATAAATACAATTTTTTTATGAATTTAAACATTAAAATTGTAAAAAAAATTCTTACCTTAAAACGAAGATATAGAAGAGTTTATTTAATTAGAATGTTTAAAAAAGCGAAATTTATTCATTCATTGAAAGAACTAATTGAAAGAAGATATAGTTCTATCTGATTTATTTAGGCAGTGAAAACATGTTTAGCTGTATTAAAAAGCAATTTTTTTGTTATTCAATTATTTTGTCCAGCTCAAAATGCTTTGCACGCTGCGCAAAATTCCTGTACTAAATATACAAGTCTGTAATCATATCAACAGTAAAAAAACAGCATGGTAAACTTTTTAACTATTTAATTGTCTATTTTAAGTTCATTTAAATACTTTTCAATCCTTTTTAATATTTTTTTTTTTAAAAAAAAAAAGTTAAATAGTAAAGCAAAAATGGTATACTTTAAGGAAACAAATACCATGGTAATGGTGCGTAAAACAATACTTAGATATTACATGCAGATGGATAATAAAAGGAAAAAAAAAATTTACCAAATAAATAAGTAAATAGTAAGTAAAATAAGTTTAATAAAATAAAATTAAAAAAAAAATTTGATATTGTGAAAAGTTATATAGTCTATACTTTAAGATACTAATAAATTGATTGACTCAAACTTTTACCCTAAAGCAAGTCCTAAAACAAATAAGTCCCTGACAATTGTCCTAAAATATTTTTAAAAACAATGAAAGTATTTTTATTATTATTTTATTATTTATTATATATACTGTTTTGTGGTGATGATCTAGATTAATAAGCAATATAAATATTTGTCAATTTTAACATTATTAGCATTATTGCTTGGCAAATGTGTTTTTTGGGGTGGTATAAATTTCTCAGAAATGATTGCTAGACATCAAGCAAACTTTAAAGCACAATAGGCCGACCAAACAACCGGATATATTTTTTTGTACAAGCTGGCTACCATTATGCGCGCATTTCTAAGGCTCATAATGGTGTGTTACATACTTGTACGCCTTGGATATGTTAACATATGTGCAGGTACTATATATATTTCTGTTACACGCAGTTGCAGGAGTTGATGAGGAGAATAAAATTGTCAGTGTATATGTATGCAATATTTTTAAGTTTCTTGAGTATAACATTGTGGATAATATAAACTTCAAAATCGAAAAAAAATTCTATATTCGTTGCTACGAACTAAATATATAATGAATTGTTTCAGCTGCAAATATTTTACTGCGAATATCGTTTATATTTGCTTTGTGTTTAAGCGTTTATGTTTTATGAGAATATGTAAGAGCGGAAATTGTTTATTAGGTAAAATAAATAGTATAAACAATTGGCTTAATAAACTATATTGAAATATGTATTATGTATGTACTCATGCATGTATAATACACATACGTATATGTATATATATATATATATATATATATATATATATATATATATATATATATATATATATATATAATATATATATATATATATATATATATATATATATATATATATATATATATATATATATCTTTTATTTTATTTTGCCTTTTTATGGCTAAATATTGCTGATTTTAAATTAAAGAAACTTCATAATGTCCCAAATAAAACAAATACAGTTACCTTTTTTTCTGTTTCCTCATTAAACAGTTCTTTGTAAACCTTTGTGTGCAAACAACCTTCTCAAAACCTTTTCCTGTAAATCATTCATACTAAAAAGTTATAATTAAAAAATATATATTTTACGACTTTTAGTTTATGTACCTACATGAACTAAAAGTGACGTATCAGTAAAAATATAATGTGTCATTTAGTTTCATACGCTAAATTCTACAATTACAATCATATGCAACACAACCGATTTTGAATTCTTTATTATTTTTATTTTGAATTCTTTTTATAAAATCTAGAACAAAAAACAAAAATTAAATTTGTTTGATAAACAATCTGAAACAATTTTATTTTTATTTTATTTGCAAAATACGAGTAGCTATTCTATTTAGTGAACAATTGTGGCCATTCTTAATAATGGCGTCACATTATATTTTACTCGATATGGAAAGCTGTTGCAAAGTAATGAATTCCTAAAAATAGTTTATATGTATATATATATATATATATATATATATATATGTATATATATATATATATATATATATATATATATATATATATATATATATATATATATATATATATATATATATATATATATATATATATATATATATATATATATATATTATATATATATATATATATTATATAAATATATATATATATATATATATATATATATATATATATATATATATATATATATATATATATATATATATATTTATATATATATAAATGTATATATGTATATACAAAAACTTATCATTATCTTATCCAGAACAATAGTTTTATTTATTTGAATTAAGTCACCTCTTAGACGTCAAAACTCCAGCGCTGTTTATAGCCATTTAGTTGCTTTAACGGATTCAATTAGGGCTGTATAAACTTTTAAATAAAGTATCCAATCAGAGGCAGCATATATAGGGTGATATGTAGTAAAGACTTCATAAATTGCTTCATTTTTATCATCATAAGTGAATGGATTTTTGAACATAACAAAAGTTTGCAGGGACTTGGACACATGATTAAATATGCATAGTCCATTTCAAATAAGATGTTAAAATAGTTTCAATGTTCCTAACAAGTTTTTCTAAGAATTGAGATAAACCATGGTTATCATTGGTTACCATGGTTATTTAGAGTAACTAGAATTTGGATTGTTACGGCTATAATGTATAACGAAATATCTAGAAATTTCAAATTCTCAGAAACTCAGAATTTAGTCTAAATTAGCCAAAAACTTAATAACTATGAAAACGATAAAAATCTAGAAACTAGCTAAAGAAATTTGAAAATAAAAATCTAGTTATTTTAAAAAAATTTCAAAACAGAAAACAAAGCAAACGAAAAAAAAAAAACATAAAAAAAAACCCGCAAACAAATAACTTACTTAAATAAGTTGACAGATTTGCACCGAGTGTATAATGACGTAGGCTGTATAAGAAAAATAATGTATCTTTTAATCTAGCTAATTAATTCCTGTCGACTTTTGCCATCTGCTAACTATTGCGAAATTAAACCTTTTTCAGCATATAAAAATATACGTTATCAAATAAAGCGTCTTGCTCAAGATTCTGAAATTGCAGAGACGCAGAGCATTTTGTACCGAGTTTAATAGACAGGAACAATAGAAAATTGAAAAATTTGATTTTTCAAAAAACTATCGCTGGGAATTATTAAATTTGAAAACCTTGACACTAGAGACATCTTTTATCTAATTTTGTTATTAAATAAAAGCATATGAAATAAAAGCATATAAAAATTCAACTTAAAGTGCTCTAGAAAAATGTTAAACGACATTGTTTAAAATATTATAGAAGCAATAATAGAAATCTGCCTATTGACAAAAAGATAATAGAAACAATAATGCTAATATAAAATTGTACAAAAAATTCTTTTAATAAGAAAACCTTTCAATTCGTTTTTATTAAACTGTTAGGGTGGATTTAATATTTTTTGTTTGTTCAAAACCAAATCCTCCCTATAATCAATAACCTTTCTCCTCCTCCTAATTTAGTTGATCGATAAAAATAACAACTGTAAATAATTTGAGTCAACTCATTAAGTTGAATTTTCTAAGAATAATATATTTTTCAAATATAAATTATAACAAATGTAAAAAAAAGAGCAGACAAAGAAAAGAAAATCAAAACACAATAACAAAATAATAAAATCGTACTCTTGTTCAAAGCTAAATCGATGAATAAAAGACATAATCAAAACAGTGAAAGTAAATAATTGTCATTGATCAAATGCACTCATAAAATTTGAATAAAAAAAACAAATTACAACAAGAGTGTTAAAAAAACTTTTTAGATTGTCTAAATTTTTATATTTTTGAAAATATAAAATACAAATGAATGAATAAATAAGTTAAATTATACTATACATGTGAATATATTTGAATACAATGTGTAAATGGTATAACGATATAAGTGCAGAATACACTTATATAAAAATATTTAAAAAAACAACAACAAATATTCAACAAGCTGGCGACGTTAACGACGTTGTGTTATCAGTTTTTAAATTTGGATTATAACCGATTATAAAAAATTTCAATTTACTTTAAAACTCTAGTACAATGATGTTCTTATTGAGGAAAACGTCTTAAAAGTTTGCGAATCTTTTTTTACATAAACTTCTTTGAAAAACACACTTTTGTGGCGAGTGGGAAAATTCAGGGTTAGGGTCAGGGGGGAGAAGGGTGTTAAACTTCTTATTAATAGAGAGAAAACTGATTTTATTTTGGTTTGTATATAAAGTTAATTGGTAACATTCGAAACAGGTTCATCGTTAATAGTAAAAAAAAAAGTTAACCTAAATCATTTTATAGAAATAGAT